TGTCTTCTTTTACAGTTTGATTTCGAGACTATAGGTCATTGAACGTTGCCTGATAATGATGCTGTAAGCAAAAAATCTATTTCCTTAACAGGAATAATTTTCAAAGCATTTCGTCAATCGATCCAGATGCATTCGGCAACCTGACGACTCTGCTAAGTCTTCACCTTAACGGAGTAACGACCTTGTCACCCCGTATGTATATCATGTTATATGCAGATATTGAATTCTGTAAGTAGTAGTCTAGATCTGCGTGTCTTTGATATTGACACCGGGAGAGGAAAGGGTTATCTTGAATTGATTAAAAAAAACACCGACACGGTATTGATATAATACAAATTATGTTGCCTGGAGGCTTCGTAATTTCCCAATAGTATTTTTGATGCTTGTGTTTGTCTGGTATTTAAGAATCAGTGATTTCATATCACAGATCCGTGTACATACATATTGTTGTTTAGATGCATGCACACTGTGTTTTGGCCACAGGTGTATTTCGGCATCTCCCTTGCCTCCAAGAGGTATCCTTGGGAGAAAAGTTGACCTGCGATTGTGACTTGCTCGATCTCGTGAAATGGATCAAGAAAACCGGTAGGTTTTTCCCTTGCTCATCAGTAACATAATAATGGCACAATCCTCGCAGATATAGAAGGACTTTATTCACTTCTAGTTGTTTCTTCTTCTTCTACATTAGCTTATAATTAACACTATGAGCAGTACACGTCTCGAACTCACGACCTTGTATCTTTCATTCCTGCAGCCGTGAAAGTCAATCCAAGTCCGCCAACCTGCTTGAGTGGACCTTCTAGAAAAAACCTTTACGAAGAGGACTTATTCGGGACGTGCCCAACGACAACTGTTTCCCCGACAACAGAACCCACGCTGCAGATTTGGTAAATATTACACCATTTACAATCACTTTCTGATAATGATTAAAGCTATACCAACAGTATAGTGCTTAAGTGTTAATCCAGAGTCTGGCGTACTGCTTTCCGTGTTGCGGCTTGCTAGACAGCACGGTTACAAAAGACGATTAACAAAAATAAAATGAAAACCTCCAACAATATCCATTCATATTGCACCATCATTCCCTATCGCCTGACTGAATCACGATTCTTGACTTCTAGCCCCAAAAAACGAGACATAAACAGAATGATGACACCGACGAATAAGCTGAAAACGTTTATACAGTATATACGCAATAAAACATTGACATCGAATGAAGCATGACATGTTTCCTTTCAACTTCACGCTTCTTGACTTCTAGCACCAAACAGCGAGACATTAACAAATCAAATCAACTTTATTGCTCAACAACTGTAACTGGTACAATGTATGGCAAAGAAGAAACAACAAGGGTAGATACATGAACTATACTAAAATATAATTCTAACAAAGCTAATCCATGATGATACATAAGCTCATCTTTTGTATGTTTTCTTAAGGAGAGTATTATTACATTCTGTAATTCAGGAGGTATGTCAGTTATTTACAATATGGTGTCACTTTTGTAGTGATTTAGATATGAATTTTCTAACGTATACATGTACTGATATCTGAGTAGGACATGAATGATGACACAGATGAATTAGCTGAAAATTCTTTATACAGTATATACACTAAAACATTAACATCGAATGGACTATGGCATCTTTCCTTTCAACTTTGTGTAAAGTTGTTGTGCTATTCTATTGTTTTACGTACAGCCCAACACTATCTCCATCACTTTCGACGACAACACTTTCACAAAGCCCTCCTGTGACAACTTTCAACTCCTCAAAACCACAGGCAGTAGCCGTGGGCTTGCCAGAATCAGCAGTCGTGGGCTTGGCCGTCGGAGTGCCCCTGTTCCTGATCATCCTCGCGATGGCGGCCGGCTTCTGTTTCCTGTGGAGGAAATTACGCCCTTCTGCCGAACACGTGGGTGCGCGCACGTTGGGACAGACTCAGCAACAGGTACTTTAACTTTTTTGTGTGTGCTTTTAGTGTTTGAGAACAGGAGTTTTCGTAGGGAAAGTGTAAAAATGGCTTTAATATTGATCTGTGTCCTGGGCCAACAATGTACGGCTGGCCGCTAACGAGTGGCCGTGTTACACTACAGGAAGCGCCTATCGGCTTAGCTGAAGTTAGCACAGACGACCCTCCATACGACAGTATCAACGAAGATCAGCGTGATGTCTCAGATGACAATCCATACAACTCAATCATTGAAGACAGACGTGGAAGTCAGGAAAACCCGTACCAGAACCCCGAGACTGTGACAGAACCGGTAGCCGACAGGATCACTAGTTCATATCTTCAGTTTGCTGGAGTGGAGGGGAGCATGAATTCACCGGACAGCAGGACGGATGATGAACAAGGTCATGACGTGTCCATTCCAACTCCACGTCTCGGAGACGACCAGAGCTCCTCTGTGACAGAACAGATGGCCGACAACATCTATAACCAAGTCAACGACGACGGGTCTGAACAAGAACAGAGTGCATCGCCTGACGAGAACAACGTTTACATCGACATCATCGGCTAGTGTGTGTGTGGTGGGGTCTTGTTAATGCTAGTAATCCACATAAACTAACCTGATGTCGTTCTGACAAATATGCTTAATACATGGTGATATGTTATTGAGATAGTAATCGGTAATGTAATAAAGGTACACCAGAATAGAGAGGTCACAAACAAGCAAGTTGTTCAATACATTGTACAGTAAGGAACACACGATTATACGTGTATGCTAAAAACGCACCATTACGACAGCTTAACCCAAGAACAACTGTACAATGGGCGATAGCGTTTAGAATATAATATGCGTATGTTAAGAATATGTTACTACATGACATGCAAGTGTGACAGTTAAATCATTATTAGGTCGACGCCGTTCTATTCATAGAAGTGCAGATATCAACATTAAAAATAATTTGGTTTATAATTTATACGAGCTGCAATGCTTTCCATTGCAAAGTTGCATTGAAATGAAATATATTGCATTGTATGATATTCATATTCGGTAAATAAGTATACATGTTAGTAGTACCGATACCATTTTGTACATCATCGCCCCTCTTTGAACTCATATATGGTTATAGATACTAACATAACTTTATACATATTGTACACACACACACACACACACACACACACACACACACACACACATACACACACACACACAANACATTTCCTGGTGTAAAAATGTGTACCTGTGTGTGTGTGTGTGTGTGTGTTATATATGTGTTGTGTGTGTGTGTGTGTGTGTGTGTGTGTGTGTGTGTGTGTGTGTACATGTATATATATATACTATGGTGTGGTCTAAAACATCTTTCCCCATCCATACACAGGGCGTACTCTAATATATGTTACAAAATAAACATTGGTTTATCTTCGAAAAGCGACTTCAGATATATGTGTATAATGATTGTGTATATTCTGGCATGATTGTAGTAATCAGTTAATTGTACACTGAACTCAGATGTCCAATGCTTGCTATAACTGTTAACTAGTTAAACAAACCAGGTGCACTGATAAGGAGACATGCCATGTTGTTTTCAGGAGGCAACAGGTTTGTATTGTTGCGGTGTCGTCTCAAAGGCCAAAGGCCAGGGTTTTTTGCCTTTTGTTCTGGCTCAAATTGCCGACAGTGCCAGCGGGGTTTGCGTACACCCCTTGTGTTCATCCAGTGAAAGAAATGACACTGCCCGCCATTTTTTTCTGACGATGCTAACGATACATCGACGACGATCAGTGACAATTTGCAACTGATGTTCCCAAGAGGAGATATACATCGAAAATGTGTTTCGGGAATCTCTCGAGTGTCACACTTCACTGAATAAAAAACAACTCAGGTTTCGTCATTCTAAAAATAATTTTAAGGTCACTCAATTTGTCCTTGATACCTCTAAAGCACGAAGCAAGGTAAAGACAATAATTCGTGCTCTCGTTTGCTGGACTGAAATGGATTTTGATGCCTGTTTCATAAAGTCTGTATAATATGGAAAGGCTTTAGACACCAACACACGCCTGCACAAACATATCATATCTCAGTTCGGATCTAAGACAGCCCATGGTCATTATTCGGGTATGCAGCAAAGGTCGACAGACTACTTATCTACTTATGCTTGACTTGATTAATTCAGGAAACAAAGTCTCAGGCAAAGTTATGAGGTAGAGCTCGAGTGTTTATCGAAATATAGACGAAACAAGACAGGGACAAACGGCACTTATTAGGTAAGAGATTTGTTCTGTGTCATCTCAATGTAAAGGTCAAGATAAATTCACAAAACGAGTTAAATGCGACAGTACATTTGTCAACAGTCACTTCGGCATGCCAGAGTGTAATTATTATGGACACAAGAATCGTTTACACACTTGTTTTTCCGACTGTGATATCTCGCAGATAGTTTAGTGTCATTGTATCACAGGATGTAGAGGGTGTGATACCGTCATTTCTAAATTGGATAGTAATTGTTTTACGCATGCATTTCTACACTTCACCTCTGTTATCAACATACTGCACACTAAATAAGCCATATACGAGAGGTCTTATGATTACTGCCACGTTTCTTGTCCCTCCGCTATTTTTAAACAAACTTCGAATCATAACATTTATACCTCTGATAGTGTGATTAACCACTTCAAGGGGTAATTTAGCGCTGTGAAAAGCAGAGTGGTATCATAACGCCTCTCTGTTTTCTGTTGTTAACAGCCGGCCACCATGGCCATGGCCCGCACTAGGACGTCTTGCCTGTTGGTATGTTTGCTCGCTGTCCTGACCCGAGGTGTGACTGCCCTTGACTGCGCACCCCAGTGCCGATGTTACGGTACCACTGTCGACTGCAGTCACGGAGCCCTCACAGGATTTCCGACAAATCAACACATACCAACTTCAACAGAAGTCCTCCTGTTGAATGATAATCAGCTGTCAGTAGTGTTCCGTTATCCTGAGCTTCCCACCCTACTGGAACTGAGCCTGGAAGATAACTCCATCACTGCCCTGTCAAAAGATTCATTCCTTTATCGGACAAGCCTTCAGATTCTCCGATTAGGAGGAAACGCGATCTCCAATCTTCCCGCTTCGGCTTTCAACGGGCTGAGCCAACTTGTGAGACTTTACCTGAATAGAAACACCATCACAACAATAACTGCGTTTGGAAGCAATTCTGTCGTCAAGAGACTGAAGATGCTCGACTTACAGGACAACAAACTCACGTCCATCGGCATCGGGACGTTCACAGGAGTCTCACTTCTTACGGAGCTCAACCTTTCATCTAATAACATCTCAGCGATAGAAGACAGGAGCTTCAGTCATCTTAAGGAGCTACTTGTCCTGTACCTGCATTCAAATCACATCGGCATGTTGACCAACGCGACCTTCATGGGAATGTCAGCCTTAACTCGTCTGACTTTGAGCAACAACAAGATCCAGAGTCTACCTGATATGGCCTTCATCGGCGCCCCAAACCTGGGGTTTCTGGACCTGTCATTAAACGACCTCTCCACAATCACACAGAAAGCGTTTTCAGGACTGTACAATCTAACCACCCTGCTTCTGGGTAATAACAAAATCATCTCTATCGAGGACTGGGCGTTTGGTGACCTGGTGAAGCTGCAGTCATTGGTCCTGAGGAACAATTTTCTACAGAACATGTCAGCAGCAACTTTCACGTTCACCTCTGCGGAACTATTGGTGAGCCCGTTCGTTTGTATTAATTCGTATCAATTTAAACTAGGAAGGTATCATTTGCGAATTAAATGCATAATTTTTAGCTTCACGTGGTCTAGGTCAACAAACTACTGCTCTGTTTATTCTTACTCTAACGCATTCATAGCTATGGCTACATTGTATGGTGAGCATCCCCTCCAACTCTGTCCTGCCACTGCACATAATGTAACACAACACCACAGACTTTCTGCTACATCACACGCTACTATGGTGACAGACATCTGGTCCAGGTCATTGACTTTATTTGTTTAGAGAAGAAGAAGAAGCAACTGAGCAAAAACAATATGTTTTTCTGCAAAGGTTAGCATAGTAACGCACACAAACTAGCTAGTTAAAGTAAAATCATCAGAGAATAAAGACCAAATCCATTCTGGCCCTTGTAGGAGCTGGACCTCGCTCATAACAGTCTCACAACCATCCGGAGGGGAGATTTTGCCAGGCTGACAAAACTGGCGCATCTTCATATACATGTGAGTCGACCCTGTAGGCATCGTTTAGCAAATGCCTATTTCCTTCATAGAGATCAACGATCAGATAAACCTTGAAAACAAATTGCTTTTCAATTGGATTCTTGTGTTACTTTCATGCAGTTTTTTTCACTTCTGTTGCATTTATATCAAATCACGTAATTTACCACTATATGATTCACAGTATATTACGTTAGCACTATATTGTATCATTGCCATAAGACTGAATATTATTCTTCAATGATACTGAGTTTACGCCATACAATATAAGTAGCTGTTCTATACCTAACCAAAAGTTGTTCAGTATCAACATATAGATCACACACCGATGTGCTATTCACTATTATATTCATATCGTCATTCCATTATATTGACCATATTATCTTTCTGGTGTGGAGAACCTAAAAAATTGTATTACTTTTGTATTTTATATGTTATTTGTCATTGTAATTGGGCTCCCTTGGAAATCAGCCCCTTGGGGCTGAAGGGACAACCCATACGTCCTAAGATGAATAAATAAATAAATAAATAAATAAATAAAAAAGCTTGTATCGTTTGTTTAACCCCCGTGCAGGCTAACGATATCGCAAACGTGGAGGACTTTTCGTTCGAGAATCTCGCCAACCTGAAGGTCTTAGGGATATACGAGAACCGTCTGACGAATGTCTCAGCTGCAACATTTAAAGGTAAACAGTACAGTGTAAGCTACCAGTGAAATAAGTGACATTCCAGCTCGATAATAGCAATTATGTAACACATTTATATTCTATCGTCATTACAGGTATACCTTGACAAACAAAATATTGATCAGCCATACGGTCGAAATATGTGTATGTGTGTGTGTGTTTGTGTGTGTGTGCGTGTATGTGTGTATGACATGTGTATGTGTGTGTGTGTGTGTGTGTGTGCGTGTGTGTATGTGTGTGTGTGTATGTGTGTGTGTGTGTGTGTGTGTGTGTGTGTGTACGCGCGCGCGCATGCCGTGTGGATTTTTTTTGTGTTTGCGTGTCAAAGCAGTGACCAGAAAGGAACGTGCACTGCCCTCTCACGTGTAATGTAAAGGTTGACTGGTAGCTATTAGGTTTGTAATTGATTATATTTCATCTTTTAAAGGTAAAGGACTCCAGGAAGACTAGTAAACAAACTTTATATTACTAATGGAGATTCCTAATAAACATAAACATAGATTGGCCTTGTAGCTCAAATATATTATATGACCTGGAAAGGTTTAATCGCTACCGGCGTATATTTTAGACAGTGGAAAAACCTGTTCTCGTACAGAAACACGTGGCGTACGGTTGTCGGGTCAAAGTTGGACAGTGTCTGCTCACACCCTGGAGCAGGTTTCCTTCTTCCATGTCACAGTCAGAATGTTTCAAAAAGAATGTATACTTGAACTAGGGCTGCTTGTCATTACTGCTTAAATTTTTATTATTTCTTCTTGACAAGGCTTTTTCTAGAGTTGACAAAGGTTTCGCATTTAGAAAGCGCTTATGATCTAATATATGTAGGTCAATACAGATAATATAAATACATGTAATTGTGTGTAATTGTCTTCTGTGTCACACAATATGTGCTATACTGATTGAGAAAGAATACTAAAGAAAAACAACACTTGTATAGATGTATGCGTTTGATGATCTGATACACGTGGAATGTTGACAGGGTGCATATTTACCTTACAGGCCTGGTGTCTGTGGAGCATATAGGGATGGGAAATCAGCCTATTGGAAGCTTTCCTGACGACACGTTCTGGCATCTTCCAAAGCTCGCTCACTTGGGCCTACTCGGCAACCCACTCGTGAGCATCAGCGACGCTGTGTTGTCTCCCCTACAAAGCTTAAAAAGTGTAAGTAATCCAGAAAACTAATTCTATTTGTGTTTCAATTGGTGATGACAGCAGATCGTGTTACCATAATGATAGTGCCTTGTCAAAATATTTAAGGAAGAATTCAAGAAAGCGATACAAACATCAAAAATACATTATCAGCAGATCATCGTATTATGTATCAGCGACTGCCGTGTGGTTTGACATTTTTTTCATATTGCAACTGAATTCCGGAGTTTTGATATTCTGATAAAGACATACATGTATCAAGACATATAGTGATTTGTAGTGCAAGAATCAGTATTGTAAATATGAATATGAAAAAAGATTATATATCTTAATATGGTCCCTTTTATCCGCTTTCGCGTGTAGATCGATTTGGCAAAATTCAAGCTGAGCTCCTTGCCGGCTTTGCCGGTTTCTTTAGAGTCACTGTCGATCAAAAAGACCCGGCTGTTAACGGAACTCCGCCCGGGAGACTTCACAACACTTCCCCGATCAGGTAAGGGACATGATTTGTCCGCCTGACAGGTTAGAAAACTCTCTCAATGGCATGCCCTAGTGTCGATCTTGTTTAATTTCCAAAACCATGCTTAGCTTACAACTTGTCTTTAGCGACAGTATCAGTTGCAGGACATTGCAAGATCACAGATCACAAACCTTATTTCTGTAATGCATTATTTTCATGATTTTCGAGACAAACATTTTTCGTAAAATGTCACAGCACAAATATGTATTCTGTGTATTAGTATATTTGTATTAAGAGGGGCTTGCCACACTGTTTTCTTTTTGCTGTATGTACATCTCTTAGATAAACGAATAAAAAAAATAAAAAATAATAAAAAATAAAATAAAAAAATAAAAATAAATAATAAAAAATAAATAAAAAAAGATCACAGATCATGCCCTTGTTGACAGGCTCAGTATGTTATATATATTATAGTGTTGTGTAGCAGAATTTGTGATTAGAGTTTTATAAAGTCGTGAATGGAAATTGGACTGATTTGTATGAAAATCTTGATGTCTCTTATTATCTTTCATCATCTTCAGAGGCAGGAGATCACCTGCCACTCCCTAACCTGACCAGCTTGCGATTGTCGAGTTCCAGGCTCCAGAAGATTCACCCGTTTGCTTTCGCGACATTGCCGGCTCTGAAATCTCTGAATCTGAAAGGGTATTCGCACTAATAGACAATATAACTAGCTATTGCGTGTTTGTGACAAAATGTTGAGCCGACGTCACACAGCAGGAACGTATAGCTTGCCTAACCGATTTGCAAGTTCACTGCAGAATTTTTAGGAGCCAATGTACGTAATAATGAAGATGTAAGATCATTATGAATTTGAAGTTTGTCTTCTTTTACAGTTTGATTTCGAGACTATAGGTCATTGAACGTTGCCTGATATGATGCTGTAAGCAAAAATCTATTTTCCTTAACAGGAATAATTTTCAAAGCATTTCGTCAATCGATCCAGATGCATTCGGCAACCTGACGACTCTGCTAAGTCTTCACCTTGACGGAGTAACGACCTTGTCACCCCGTATGTATATCATGTTATATGCAGATATTGAATTCTGTAAGTAGTGGTCTAGATCTGCGTGTCTTTGATATTCCACCGGCAGAGGAAAGTGTTTTCTTGAATGATTAAAAAAACACCGACACGGTATTGATATAATGCAAATTATGCTGCCTGGAGGCTTCGTAATTTCCCAATATATTTTTGATGCTTGTGTTTGTCTGGTATTTAAGAATCAGTGATTTCATATCACAGATCCGTGTACATACACATTGTTGTTTAGATGCATGCACACTGTGTTTTGGCCACAGGTGTATTTCGGCATCTCCCCTTGCCTCCAAGAGGTATCCTTGGGGAGAAAAGTTGACCTGCGATTGTGACTTGCTCGATCTCGTGAAATGGATCAAGAAAACCGGTAGGTTTTTCCCTTGCTCATCAGTAACATGGCACAACTCCTCGCAGATATGGCGGGTACTTTATTCACTTCTAGTTGTTTCTTCTTCTTCTTCTCGGATCTATATAGGCTTAACCCTATGAGCAGTACACGTCTCAAACTCACGAGCTTGTATTGTATCTGTCATTCCTGCAGCCGTGAAAGTCAATCCAAGTCCGCCAACCTGCTTGAGTGGACCTTCTAGCAAAAACCTTTACGAAGAGGACTTATTCGGGACGTGCCCAACGACAACTGTTTCCCCGACAACAGAACCCACGCTGCAGATTTGGTAAATATCACACCATTTACAATCTCTTTCTGATAATGATTAAAGCTATACCAACAGTATAGTACTTAAGTGTTAATCCAGAGTATGGCCTACTGCTTTCCGTGTTGCGGCTTGCTAGACAGCACGGTTACAAAAGACGACCAACAAAAATAAAATGAAAACCTCCAACAATATCCATTCATATTGCACCATCATTCCCTATCGCCTGACTGAATCACGATTCTTGACTTCTATCCCCAGACAGCGAGACATTAACAGAATGATGACACCGACGAATAAGCTGAAAACGTTTATACAGTATATACGCAATAAAACATTGACATCGAATGAAGCATGACATGTTTCCTTTCAACTTCACGCTTCTTGACTCCTAGCACCAAACAGCGAGACATTAACAAATCAAATAAACTTTGTTGCTCAACAACTGTAACTGGTACAATGTATGGCAAAGAAGAAACAACAAGGGTATATACATGAACTATACTAAATATAATTCTAACACAGCTAATCCATGATGATACTAAAGCTCAACTTTTTTGGTATGTTTTCTTAAGGAGAGTATTATTACATTCTGTAATTCAGCAGGTATGTCAGTTATTTACAATATGGTGTCACTTTTGTAGTGATTTAGATACGATTTTTCTAACGTATACATGTACTGATATCTGAGTAGGGCATGAATGATGACACAGATGAATGAGCTGAAAATTCTTATACAGTATATACACTAAAACATTAACATCGAATGAACTATGGCATCTTTCCTTTCAACTTTGTAAAGTTGGTGTGCTATTCTATTGTTTTACGTACAGCCCAACACTATCTCCATTACTTTCGATGAAAACACCTTCACAAAGCCCTCCTGTGACAACTCCAAAGTCGTCAAAACCACAGGCAGCAGCCGTGGGCTTGCCAGAATCAGCAGTCGTGGGCTTGGCGGTCGGAGTGCCCCTGTTCCTGATCATCCTCGCGATGGCGGCCGGCCTCTGTTTCCTGAGGAGGAAATTACGCCCTTCTGCCGAACACGTGGGTGTGCGCGCGTCGGGACAGACTCAGCAAGAGGTATTTTAACTTTTTTGTGTGTGCTGTTAGTGTTTGAGAACAGGAGTTTTCGTAGGGAAAGTGTAAAAATGGCTTTAATATTGATCTCTGTCCTGGGCCAACAATGTACGGCTGGCCGCTAACGAGTGGCCGTGTTACACTACAGGAAGCGCCTATCGGCTTAGCTGAAGTTAACACAGACGACCCTCCATACAACAGTATCGAACACGTGGGTGCGCGCACGTCGGGCCAAACTCAGCAACAGGTATTTGAATTTCTTGTGTTTCTATTGTAGTTTGTCTTCATAGAAAAAGTGTAATGGCTTTGATTTTCATCTCTGTTCTGGGCTAAACCTGGCCTCTAACGAGTGGTCTTGTTACACTACAGGAAGCGCCTATCGGCTTAGCTGAAGTTATCACAGACGACCCTCCATACGACAGTATCAACGAAGATCAGCGTGATGTCTCAGATGACAATCCATACAACCCAATCATTGAAGATAGACGTGGACGTCAGGAAAACCCGTACCAGAACCCCGAGACTGTGACAGAACCGGTAGCCGACAGGATCACTAGTTCCTATCTTCAGTTTGCTGGAGTTGAGGACAGCATGAATTCACCGGACAGCAGGACGGATGATGAACAAGGCCATGACGTGTCCATTCCAACTCCACGTCCCGGAGACGACCAGAGCTCCTCTGTGACAGAACAGATGGCCGACAACATCTATAACCAAGTCAACGACGACGGGTCTGAACAAGAACAGAGTGAGTCGCCTGACGAGAACAACGTTTACATCGACATCATCGGCTAGTGCGTGTGTGTGTGTGTGTGTGTGTGTGTGTGGTGGTG